GCAATCAGCTGCCCCCGCCCCGTCCTCGGAGGCGTCGGACCCTCAGATCCAGGCGGCGAAGTCTGGCGCTGCCCTAGGGAGGGCAAAACCCTCCTTGATTCACCGCTGCGATGCGGAGGGACGGGCTGTGACCCAAGACCACCCTTACAGCCGTGCTCGGCCTGCGGGAGCCATCGGGGCGGGCCGGAGGACAGCAGGTACCGCACAGGGACATCCCCCTCCCCAGGGCCTCATCTGTATCATCAGCAAATTTCCTACCCAGAAGCCGAGTTACAGCCCCTCTGGCTCCTCACACAACTCCCCCAAGGCTGATCCTTGCCAGCCAGCGTGCCCCTCCCTGCCAAGGGACCACCCGACCCATCTCTGAGCACGCGCACGTGGCAGGACAAGCAAGTGCCCAGCGCCCCGTCCAGAGTCCCCCCGAGTCCCACGGCTCCAGCAGAGGAACAGAAGCTGCAGCTAAACCCAGGGCAAACAACAGCGTTTGGTGCGTTTCTGGAATCCCCGTGGCAGCGACGTGCGATCCAGGCCCAGCTGTAAGGTCCCGCAGGGAACGCGGTGCCACGGCAGACGGAGGGGGCAGAGCCCGGGTGCCCGTGGCACAGCGTGGCACTGCTCCGCCAGCCCAGGAACCACCCCCCCCGCGACTCCTAATTAACACACTATACCTAATTGAGTGCCCAACTGCTAAATGATATCAGCCAGGTTAATTAAATGTTAAATCTTGGTCAGTTAGCAAAAAAAAAACAAACCAGCCAAACAAAAAAAATCCAGGAAAAGAAAAAAAAAGCCCACAAGGAAAGGAGAAGAAAAAAAGCAAAGTTAAAGGAGCTGAAGCAGCGCTGGCGGCTGTGCCCTCGGGACTCTGCTCCCAGAGCCTTCGCACCACCAGCCGTCGCGGAGGGAGCTTCGATGAGCCACAGGAGGCGGCCCCGGAGCTGAACCCCTGCTCGGCCGTCACGTCTCCTTCCGCACGCGCGCCTGCAGTTGTTCAGCGTGGAGATCACTCACCTGTGTGCAGCGGGAGTCCGACGCCGTGCCAACAACACCCCTGGCCAGGCCTCCCCAGCGCCGCGTCCCAGTCTGCCCACAGCTGCCAGCGTTGCTGACGGGTCCCCTCCAGCGGGCGCGGGGCACGGCGAGGGACCAGCCGGCCACCGCTTGCCACCCGTGGAGCAGGCGGGAACGCAGCTGACCGCAGACCCGCGACCCGTGGGCTCATCTCCCGGATGCAGATCATCTTTCTGCCTCAAAAACCGCACAGTGCTCAGCTGGGAGCTGTCGGAAGGGTCAAGTTAGAGCAGAGCCAGTGGAATGTCCCCGCTGCAGCCGGGGGGTGGGACACACCCTGGGCCGGGGGGGCACCCGTCCCCACCGAGGGGAACAGCGTCGCGCGTCACTTGACACTGGGGGCCTGAGCTGCTCCCCGGCCCCAGACTCGTGTCCCAAAGCCAGTTCCTGCACACGCTGACGGGGACAAGCTGCCCTATCCCCTCAGCAAATAATGCCCGTTTTGGAAATTCCTTTTTATCGTTATTTCCCCGACCTCTGAGACTTATCTGTTTTCACAATGGCTCACGAGTTCCGCAAACGGATGAATTCTTGGCGTGCGGAGCATCTTTACTGCTAGGTGCAGGCACTACAATTGAACACCAAACTCGGAGAGGCAGCCCGTTCAGCTACGCTCACCAGGGGTTTCCAGATACGCGTTTCGCCTCTGAATTTGCAGTTCTCCCAATCACTTTGGGGAAGAGAAATGACTTCAGAACTCCTCCGTGCCTCTTTCAGTGATGCTCAGGAGTAGTTCCCCTTCTTACGCCTTCAGCTGACCCAGAAAATGGATTTCTGGTGGAATTATGCAGGTCGGCTGGAGGAGTTGCATGTGCTGTCCTGCACCTTCAAATCAAAAAGTCCTGCATGAAAAAATTGCCTAGAGACGGCTCCAATTTGTTCTAAACTATCATCCCTTCTATCAGCAAGCAGGGAATTGTTATCTATTTATTTCTCACAATGTCACCGAATCAGTGACCACCTGCAAGGTGTCCGTGATGATAAACGCCTGCTTTGTGCAGGAGCTATTTCTGACAACGCTCGATAGCGCACATCTATCAAATTGCCTGAAGAGGCACCTATTAGGATCATTATCTCACACAGTCCCTTTGTGGGAGTTCAATGTCAGCACTTCCTGGGGAAGGTACCTCACCGGGTACCTATTCTGCTCATTATTTCTCTAGATTAATCGTTTCACATTTCCATTAGGAATTGGGGCTGAACTTTGGCGTTCCCACACCCGGAGCAGAGCCGCAGCACCAGCAGCCACACGCGGAGCGTCCTCCGGGCGCAGGGTCCGGCTGCTCGCCCAGCTGCTCGCCGGGAGGGCAGGGATGCTTTTCCCCTTGGACAGGACTGCAGAAGCCCTGGTGAAACAGGCACACGCTGCTGCTGGCTCGCTCCACGCTGGGGCCAGGCTACCAGCGGCTCGCTCTGTCCCGAGGGAAACTCTTTGTGGAAGAGCTCGGGGCTGGGTCAGGAGTTTGATCTTCAAGTCAGTGCCCAGCAATCTCCCAGCAAGCCAAGGCCATTCCTCCCCAAAGCGCCCTTCCTACAGGAAAGCCACAGCTCTCAGCCCCGGGCAGTATTCACCATGATGGAAATTCCAACCAGGAAAAACACTTTTTCTCATGGAGTCAGCCACAAAACGCGGGGCCCTTCGCTCCCCCGCAGAGCCTTGCCTCTTCACAGCTTCCCTGCGTTGCCCCCATAATCCTTGAAGAGGGAGGTTCTGGCTCTGTCAACAAAACGCCACCGGGTGTGCAACAGGGCCAGAAGCGATGCCGACAATTCGCGTGAGCAATAAAACCGCAGAAAAATGAAATACTGCTTACCCGTGTTCTACAGCAGCACACGGCGCGGGCAGCACGCAAAACGGATTGAGGTGATGAATCTGCTCAGCTATGAGCTGCCAGAGCGCTTTAATTCATGTCAGATAAAATTAACTCGCTCTGACGATTGGAAAAGGACCCTCGAGCGTCCAGAGCGCGGCCTCTGCGCAGCCCCCTCCGGCCCTGCTGCCCCGGAGCACAGGGGGCACAAACCCACCACGGCTCAGCCCGGGCAGGAGGCGGCCGCCGGCCAGAGGAGCGCAGGGCCTTCAGCACCAGCGGACTGCAGGACCACAATTCTCTAGGCGAGCTAAGCATCCTAGTTCTTTTTTTCTTACTCTGCTGAAGATGCTTAAAGCAGAATTGAGACTCGCACATCTGTATCCAAGCGAGTATGTTACAGTTTTATTTACAGCTTAACTAATTGTGGAGGGTTTTTTTCATTAATATGGCAACAGAATTCAACCACAGCCGAAGAATGGCACTTGCTTAGCAGTTTACAATATTGCCACCTGCAGTCAGGACTCAGAAGCTGCCAAAACCTCTTAAATACCAATTTCCAAACACATGGGATGTACCCGGGGTTTGCGTTCGCCACACTCTTGCCTTTTAAAGGGAATCCACGTACGAATGCTGCTCTGCAAGCCTCCTCCCACGCCACACGCTGCATCAATCACAGCAAAGCCTAAGTTACCTCTGACAGCAGCTTTTCCCAGGCTTCCTTCTTAACCACGCTGCGGGCTTGGCGTTCGCCAAAAGCAGAACTTCTCCAAACCTAGAAAAACTCATTAAGTCTCAACATCCTGGTTTGTAACCCCTTCAAAGAGGCTTAAACCGAGCCCAGAAAGGTGTCTTTGGAAAGGGCGGTGTGCCAGCTCACCAACAGGCTTATTTTTAGGAAAAAAAAATCTTAGACAAAGTTAAAGAAGCAAAGTTCTTTACTCCAAATGCTCTCAACGTGCCAACTGAAACGTTCTCACGTTGGCTTCCCCGCTGAAGCAGAGGAAGGGTTATCGGGTCGTCTCGTGCAGAAGGCACTTTACACATTTGTAACCGAAGCGACCACACTTGTGTGGGATCCCACATCTCAGTTCAACAGACAGGAGATGTGTCGCCTCCCATCTGTACCAGCTACAGATTCACAATAAAAACGAAGCCCTGGGCTTCAAGCGAGCTGAGGCTTTTACATTTTAAGACTTTAGGCAACCTTCCCAAGGAGGGGTACTGCTCCAGAGAGCTCTGCTTTTCCAGGCTGTCGAAAAATAAGATGGTGGTTGTAGGAAAGCAAATACAAGGTTTCTTCCTTGCTTTGCTTGGCAAGGAAGCGTTAAGCCAGATGAGTGTTCCTGCTCACATTTCAAATGTACGTATGGTAAAACCCTTTCCCAAGAGGCCACATTTAAAGTTGAATTACCATGAGTTTGAAGTGGAGCAGGATTCCTCTGTATTTTCTATAGGCAATGGGGATAAACCCACTAAGGAAGTTTGTGCTGTTCAAACGGCATTTATTGGATATGGCTCTTTGTCACAGAAACGCCCTGAATCAACTCAATTTAGGTGAGAAGAAAGGACAAAACCATGTTTTGACCAGTCCAAGCTTTCTCCTTCCCTGCCTATACACCGTTCCCGGAGTACGGCTGCTCCTAGAGACTGTGAGAGGGAAAGGAAAAGCAAAGTTCTCCCACAGTAGATACTCCAGGGGCTCTCAGGTTACTCTCAGCAACCCAGTTAAGTAGTCTGGCTGTTGATTCTGTTATGTTAAAGCACCTGTGATTTTTTATTTCTTTAAAAAACAATAATACGCCTAAGTTCACTATAAAACCCTCAAAGCCAGTTACAAATCCAAGGGCTGCTCTAAGAACAAAGGATCACTATTCATGGCAGCGTCACAAGCCACAGGCAGCTTCCCACCCAGTCCCAGGCGCCAGGAACGTGCCTTTGGGTATCTCAGGCGTGAGACCGAGGCAGGCAGCACCTTGCAGGCACATCTGCAGAGACAGGACGTGCCCGGCGGAAGCGCAGCAGATCTCAGCTGTCGCGCTCTCTGCCCAGACAGGCACAAACCCGACACGCGTCTCCACCCCTCACATCTTCTGCGAGAGACCACAACGGCCCTTCTGCCCGCCCAAGGGAGCTCTATCTTGGGCTCAACCTTAGAGGAAATAGGGAAGAGAAGTATTTTTTTTTCTCCCGAATTAAAAAATGCAATCTATTCTAATCCCATTACATACTGCAGATAAAAAAATCAGTTCTTAACTTCCATTCTGTAAATTAATGGAAGGAAGACACAAATTAGAACGAAAACTAAAGGTAGGAGTCCTAAACGTAGCATTCGGTATTTACAGAGGGGTGTCGGCGTTCACTGAGCTTCATGTGCAGGTTTTTGCACCGCTGCAAGCTTGTGCGAGACGAACCTAGAAAGAGAGAGAAATTAATCCGCAGTCTGAGACACTGCTGTATGCCACAACCTCTTACAGCTGCTGCCCGAAGCAGAGGACACTCTCGGGTTTGATTCGGTTTATCAGAACATTTACAACAGCTCCTTCTCAAGGCGGGCATGGTTTACCTACAGCCTGTATTAAGCTAAATGTGATGTAAGGCTCCTCCCTCCCCTTCCCTGCTCAGTTCATGCTGCTGCTTGATCACCAACATGAGCCAAAATACAAGACGGGGGGGGCGCGCAAAAAATTAGTTTCTATTACAGCTCAACAGTCCAGTGACTAATGGCAGAGCAACAACGCTGCCTTACAGCTTCAGGTCACGACTGACTTACCGATAGCTTCTTCATAATTCCTTGGGTCTCCGGATTTAGATGAAGAAGATTCTTCTTGGTCAAATCACTTGTTGTTAAACGAATGCTCTGTGGAAAAAACAAAACAAAACCAAATCTCATCTTAGGTTTTCTGTTTGGTCAGCTGTAGTAGCTGGAAGCAGCAAAAAAAGAAATGATAAAATAAAAATAAATAAAATCCAAGCATATTAGGAGACCACAGAGAGGCAGAGAACAACATGCAGCTTGACCAGCAGCTGGACTTTGCACCTTCCTTGCGGCGCATTAACACGCTACTGCCAGCAGAAGCTACTTGAAATGTTACTGACACTCACAGCAAAACCTCATTCTACATTCACCAGCTTGAACCGCTCCCACTTCCGACTAAAAATCTTCCAAGGTTCTTTTAAGAGAGATCAGTGCCCTGATAAACTGCAGCGGCACAACCGAAGAGACAAGAGTGGGCGACCTGAACGTGCTCAGGCCCCCGAGGGGTCACAAGCTCTCCCTTCAGCAGAGATTTCACACGCTGAAGCTCCTCACTCACCTCCCCTCCTCCGATGGGGACTGTGATGAAGATGTCGTTGCTGTCGGCGAGGGGGCTGCCATTGGCAGAGATGGTGTAAACGCGCTCGTTTACCGCGGGAGTGCGCAAACCCGGCGTCTTGAAAACGCTGAAATGGATAAAGTTCTACGTGAGTAACGTCACCGCCGCTGCTCGAAGCACTGACTAAAAGCCTTTCATTTCAGGTTCGAAGGGCCACTAAGGATCGTGCTGCAAACAGATGACAGATATACACGCAGAGCGAACGGCAAGGCCCCCCCCTACAGAGGAGATTAACAGGATACAAACCTGGAATCAAATCTGGGCGTGACCACGGAGGTTCCTCCTCGCGCACAGAGATCAACAATCCTACCCGTAGCTGGGGTGATGAAGCTGTTTTTGCTTGTTCTGCTAGAGGGAAATAAATGAACATCTGCTCATAAAATATTTGTAATAAACTTACAAGAAACTTACTACCTTATCAGAGGCTTGAATGAGGTTATCGCCACAGACCAGAGGTTCTTGCTAACCAAAGGCAAGCCCCAAAGCTGGGGATGGCAGGAGAGGAATCTGCCCGTCCTCCACCTGCTCTCAGATCACTGATTTTTCCCTATAGCACGGCACAACTACATCCACCAGCCTACTAAACCACACTCCATTCCGCTAGGAGTTACGGCAGCACTAGACACTTATTCTCCACTTGTGAAGGCCAGTGAAAGACACCCCGTTACCTTTTACTCATGCGCTTCACCCTCACCGAAGGAGGCCTCCTGCTCCTGGACGCTGGCATTTTTTTTGTGGATGCCTTCACCTGAAACACACGTTATTCACCAGATCAGTTACTTCGCTCTCGTGTGACAGCTGAGCCCACAACGAACAAAGGCTTCCAGACAAAACATTTGGCTCAAGAGGCTCCTTTTTATGGCACAAGAGCCCAGAAGCAAACACTGTACAAGCTTCTGTGACCTCCTCCGACCGCTACAAGTTTCAGGAAGTGAAAGTCCCCCTCAAAGTATCCTGGGCAGCTATATAACTGAAGGCATCATCTCAGTAAGCATTTGTATCTTGGGAATAAAGTACCACAAAGAGTAACTGCTTACCTTTCCAGCTTTTGGATTAATGTTTTCAGCTTCCAGCTCTGGAAGACACTGGCTATCATGCTTTGCTTTCTTTGCTACAGGAAGCAAAGGGCGCTCTGCTTCTTCCTCAATAGCTTCAATACCCTGTTTGAATTTTTCCACTAGAAAGAGAAAGTGTTATCTAAGTTGAAAATAAATAATAACTTTACATTATTAGTTAGCAGCAGAGGTAAACAACCACAAGCATTTCTGGCAACAATTTGCTTCAGAAATCAAATTCCAATGTAATCCAACTGGTTGAGTACTTTAAGAAAATTAAGGTTTGAATAAATTTAATAAAAGCAGGTTTAATTAAAATTTAGTAGTTTAATAAAATTAACAAGCTACTGCAGCTAGTAAGGATAAAAAGTAGGATTATTTAAATACATTGAAGGATGCAAATAATAACTGATTATTCACAGTATGCAAACCCTGACCCGCTCTCATCTCACTACTCATCACAGCGCTTAAAACAAACTGACCTTTCTTGATTTTTAAAGGAGTCTGGATAACTTCTGCTGTTAACTTGTTTATTTCTGTTATTTCCAAGTCTGCCTAAAATTGAAACAGTCACAGCACCATTAGGATTATCAGTAGCACAGAGTTCTGAGAAATCCAAGTTGTAGAGCAAACCCCCATTTCATAGCAAGAACACCCCCATGTTTTCTGTTGTGCTCAAGCTGGGACCTTCCACGTTATTCCGGAGGTGCCCGCGTGTGAGGTCTGCCGGCCACTCAGGCCCAACACACCTTGTTTAGCAGCTGCAGGACGTGCCTCACCCGTGCCCTGCTGCTCAGCCAGTGTAGAAATCATTTAATTTACTGAAAAGCGCGAGTGCTCTCGGGGGTCTGGGAGGGAAAGCGAGCAGGTAAGGGGAGATGGACAAGGAGCAGCGTGAGCACACAAATCCTCTTTGGATACAACAAGGCCTCTCTCACAGTTAGGCCTTAAAAACAGCATTTATGAAAGAGCTTCTGCGACCTCTGGTATCGCAACACTCCCACAGACCCAGAAACCCTTCGTTTCCCACAACGTCATTAGAAGAGCTGGGTACCTACCGCTACTGCCTCTTGCAACACCTTTTTGCTTCCTCCTTTAGCTAAAAAGAAAAAAATTTCGAAAAAGTCACTCTGCGTGTAAGCAGGCCTACGCGCTATGGGCGGGCACTTTAACACGCCACCACTAGGGCGCAAAACCCCGCACAAGCCAGCTTTGGGGCAGCCTCAGACAAAGAGCGCGGCGCGGGCCGCCCGTCTGGGGGTGCAGGCGGAGCGGATCCCGGCCGCGCCTTCATTACCGCGGGTTTTACTGTCTAAGGGAACGCGTGCCCCCGCCAGCCCGGCCCCGGCCCCGTTCGTACCGAGGTAGTCCAGCCAGTTCATCTCGCGGAGCGCCACCGGCAGCCGCAGGATCTCGATGTTGTACAGGTTCTCCGCCTCCTTCACCAGTCGCTGCTCGTTCGCCCACAGCTGCTCGATCCGGGTCCGCACTGCGGGGACGCAGACGGCGTCAGCCACGGCTCCGGGCCCGGGGCCCGCTCCCCGCCGCTCCCCG